TCTGACCCAGGGATGTGCCAAGAGAGCTTGTTTTAAGTGAGGATCTTTGGGAAAGCAAGGAGATTCATTGCCTTAAATGCGTGGTATAAAACTGGGTTAGACAGGACTGCTCTCCCTAAGGAGCTGGCTCTGCCAGTCACCTGGGGGAAGTATCTTTTAGATATAACTCAATAATTCTCAGTTACTGTCGCGTTAAAGGGGTGTAGCTGATTAACCGTTACGGGCCCGGTTGGATTCAGAGTACTGAACCAGTCAGACATTCACCAAAACTGGGGGTCCGTTCGGACATTCACCAAAAACGTAATAACCGCCTGGGGGTCCGCTCAGACATTCACCAAAAACGTATTAACCACCTGGGGGTCCGTTCAGACATTCACCAACAATGCATTAACCGTCTGGGGGTCTGGTTAGATTGAGAACACTGAACTATCACGGATAACCACCCTCACCCTAGTTGCATTAATGAGAGCTATCACAATGCAATCAAGTATGGTTTATTACAGCAACAGATAATCAGGTTCTGTTGGATTGCCGGTGATAGTGCAAAAGCAAGCTAGTATGCATGAAATACACAGGTGTTACAGGTGTTCTAGGTGTCGGTTCTAGGTGTCGGTTCTAGGTGTCGGTTCTAGGTGTCGGTTCTAGGTGTCGGTTCTAGGTGTCGGTTCTAGGTGTCGGTTCTAGGTGTCGGTTCTAGGTGTCGGTTCTAGGTGTCGGTTCTAGGTGTCGGTTCTAGGTGTCGGTTCTAGGTGTCGGTTCTAGGTGTCGGTTCTAGGTGTCGGTTCTAGGTGTCGGTTCTAGGTGTCGGTTCTAGGTGTCGGTTCTAGGTGTCGGTTCTAGGTGTCGGTTCTAGGTGTCGGTTCTAGGTGTCGGTTCTAGGTGTCGGTTCTAGGTGTCGGTTCTAGGTGTCGGTTCTAGGTGTCGGTTCTAGGTGTCGGTTCTAGGTGTCGGTTCTAGGTGTCGGTTCTAGGTGTCGGTTCTAGGTGTCGGTTCTAGGTGTCGGTTCTAGGTGTCGGTTCTAGGTGTCGGTTCTAGGTGTCGGTTCTAGGTGTCGGTTCTAGGTGTCGGTTCTAGGTGTCGGTTCTAGGTGTCGGTTCTAGGTGTCGGTTCTAGGTGTCGGTTCTAGGTGTCGGTTCTAGGTGTCGGTTCTAGGTGTCGGTTCTAGGTGTCGGTTCTAGGTGTCGGTTCTAGGTGTCGGTTCTAGGTGTCGGTTCTAGGTGTCGGTTCTAGGTGTCGGTTCTAGGTGTCGGTTCTAGGTGTCGGTTCTAGGTGTCGGTTCTAGGTGTCGGTTCTAGGTGTCGGTTCTAGGTGTCGGTTCTAGGTGTCGGTTCTAGGTGTCGGTTCTAGGTGTCGGTTCTAGGTGTCGGTTCTAGGTGTCGGTTCTAGGTGTCGGTTCTAGGTGTCGGTTCTAGGTGTCGGTTCTAGGTGTCGGTTCTAGGTGTCGGTTCTAGGTGTCGGTTCTAGGTGTCGGTTCTAGGTGTCTAGAAATAAACGCGTTAAAAGGATCAAAGACTTAGAGATTTATAAGCAAATATTCAGATCTCACCCAATGGGGGGGGAAGAGAGGCTCAGCCCGTCGACTGATCCCAGGAGTCAGGAGGTCCTAAGGATGTTGTATGTCCTTGGGATGGTATCTCCCCTGACGATGGTATCTTCCCTAACATCCCCTCTCTCTTGGGCCAATTTATATTATTTTCTATCTTTTAGGTGGAGCTTGAGTGGCTCTAGTCAAGCATATCTTAGTTATGATTGGTGTAAAGTTTTCCCGTTTCCGTTTAAAGTAATAGGCTCTGAGAAATTCAGAGCGCATGCTCCGTGAGGGGTGGTCGCACCTTGGAGGCGGGTAGCTTTTGGGATGGAGGTGTGTTTTGGTATTATAATGATATTATAATGAGCAAAAAGTACACTAGGGTACAGCATTTGTCAAAACATGACAGGTCTTTGGCTTAGGGTGGCAAAAAGTGCAGCTTTGTGCACAAGAACAATCGAGGCCCCACCTGATTACAGAGCCTAGCCGTGGTGTCTCCACTCCACTCTACGCTCCGTGGTGTTCCTTAGAGCTAGCACACCAAGTTTCCCCAGCGCGATAGCATCTAAGGTTGGGAGCCTAGGGAATGCTCAGATAATGCAGTTATGCCCTACCCTGAAAGCCTCTTCAATGTTGTACCTTTTCCTTAAAAGTGTGAATGTTAATTTTCCTAGTTACTTCAGGCATTTACACCACAGTTACCCACTGCATTTTTAAAATCACAGCCCTCTACTAACCCAGCTTCCCTCCTTGGCCAGGAGCACCAGCTTGGCAGATGCCACCCTCAGACCCATGTTTTTTCCTAGGGTGAGTGGGGACACACCACAAGAAAAGGCTACTGCCCTCCTTGCTCCCCTGCCACAGCCCACACCTCCACAGCAGCTACAGCTTCAGTATCCCCTTGCTTCGCAATATGTCAAACTAATCCAGGTCACTCTCCATAGAAACCCCAAGGAACAGCTGCTAGCACATCCCAGCCTGTTTTCAAGGAAAGGCCACGTACAGGGTTTGCCAGCTTTCTTATATCCATGATAATTTCCTCTTCATTTTAGTACCTAGCATCGTGACACAAAGCAACACAGCCTGTAGCTGGAACACCGTGCTCAAATTTTCAGCTGCATCTCAGACAGCAGACTCGCTGCCAGGAGAACTGAAAAGCAAGATGCATATTAGCCTTGTTTCTCCAGGCTGAAAGTAGTGCTTTGAAGACACAAAGGGGAAGGTTTCAACTCACCTGAAGCATTTTGCTAAAAATAGCTTCCCTAACCCCATCAGATACTTAGGTTAGACTGTTGGAGAATTTTAAAAGAAAGGCTATACATACAGCTTCCTTCCCTCACCTCACCAAATTCCTGATCAGCAGCTGCTGTGCATACACAACACCATAGCAATTCTGCCTTTAGGGCTCAGTCAAAATTTAGGTCTAGCTCAGACATAATACAGCTGCTATGGGGCAGTAATAGCTCAGGTCCCCTCAGCACTTCGCAGGGGAACCACAAAGCTTGATTCACTGGAGAAAGAAGTCTAAAATGAAAAGCAGAAGCAAGGAACAGCACCTAGCTAGAGCAAAGGCTAAAATCAGGCTCTGCAGTGCAGACACCTGCCTCTGAGGATATGTAGCTGCACTGCTGACACAGGGTCCCTCAATCCAGGTCTAGGTTTACTCCTCCTTATTCCACAGACCCACCACAAAGAAACTAAATCCAGCCTGACACCTCCCACAAAAAAAAAAATAACATAGCACCACCATACAATCAAGATATCTGATTGTGGTCAGCAGGTGATTGACTGCAGATTTACTGCAGTCTGTGGGGTGGATCCAGGGGCTCCCTACAGTACCACAGGTGGGCATGCTGCTGGGGGCTTGCACCTCCCTGTGGCTGGAGAGGAGATGGATGCTGGCAGTCAGAGCTGCTGCTCCCAGGATCACATTTGTTCCTGCTCGGACTGGGAGAGCCCCAGGTGAACAAAGCACTTTCCTAAGATGACCAATGCTTAGAATAATTCATTAACAAACACCCCACCTGGAGAGCAAAGCCTTCCTCTCCTATGTCCTGTTTTTGCAACAAGATGTTTTTGCACTAGGCTTTAAAGTCATCTTGTCTGCTCCAGATCACCAGTGAGAGATGATGTTTGTGCTAATGCTCAGCTACATATCCCAGGGCAAAGGCCAGGGAGAAATACTGCAGGAGAGTGGAGAGGGAGAGAGAGGAATTCCCTGAGCAGAAATTATTTTGAGCAGAGAAAGCTGCAGAGCAGTGTGGAGTGAGGCAGAAGAAATGCAGGAGAGGGAGGTGGCTGTGCTGGGGGAGATGGAAAAGAACAGAAGAGGGGAAGCTCACAGGGCTCCTCCGGAGAGGAGGGGTGGGTAGGATGCTGCACACAGGGGCTCTGTAGAGGCTCCCTGTCAGGAGCAGGCTGGGCTTAGCCGTGCTTTCCCCTGCAAGGGGATTCCCTCTGCCACCTACTATTGGTCCTGGCGCAGTGACAAGCTGCTGGAGTGGATTTCTTTCCCTGCATACATGGTGGAGGTATAGAAAAACAGCAGCCTCCCTCCTCCCATGCAGAGGAGCGGGATTCCCTCCCCTGCCAGGAGGGATACTCCATGCTAGGGCTGGGCACTCACAGAAATCCAGGGAACGGTCCTCAAGAAAAACACTGAGGGTTGTGCTCAGCCTGTCTGCAGGATGCAGGGGGAAGGGTCCTGTGCCAGCAGGCTGCTAGGAAAGGGATTCAAAAGCTCAGTCCCTGGTGACAGCCAACATCTCAGCCTGCTGACACTGAGATGGTCCCCACCTCACAGCCATGCTGGGATCCTGCCTGTCCATGCTGAAGACAACACCCAGACATCAACTGGCCTCACAAAGCTATCAAGCATGCAGAAGTGGCAAGCAAAGCTGCCCAGGAGATGCAAGGCACATGCTTCATGCTTTGCACAGACCAGTCCTTAGGGCGTCCCACATTTGTGAAAAGGGGCTATGATTTTCCATCTACATATTCAAAGTAGTGCCCCATCATAAGAGTGCAAGAATTTTACAGCCTAAAACCCTACCTTAAGTTCAAGCTGCATCTTAACAGCTAACCACTGATTTTCTCTGACATAGACTTCCTGAGTGACCTCAGGACACTCACTTCTCTTCTAGCTTCTGTTTTTGAAGGAAAGATCTTCATGTATTACCTTAAGGTTTGCTTAGGAGCAGGCCCCTGCTCTGCCCAACCCCACTGCAGGCTCTGTTCAACTATGAAGCATTGCAAGAAAAAGTGCAGTGAAGGGGACTCAACAAATGTCTCCTTCCCAGAAGGACACTGGGTACCTGCCTTTCTTTGGGGATAGGAGCTACAGAAGAGTCCTCAGAAGGCTGCTCCAACCAAGCACCAAGGAAGCAGCAAGAGCAGAAGAGGGGCAAACCAGAAACCAAGTGACCACAGTGCAAGCAGAACCCTCACCAGCCAGGGTGCAGCCCCAGCATACCTGAACAGGGTGAGCAAAGTCCCACACAAGGCAGTAACTCAGGCCTAGGATATCCAGCCAGAGACAAGGTTGCAAAGTGCACCTGAAGGCCCTCTGAAAGAGAGATCCAAAAGCAGCTACAGCATGGCCCCAAAAAAGGAGGAGGTCCAGGAGGCTGAGCTTAAATGGAGCCGTGGCCATGGGTGGGTGTGAATGGGTGGTGGATGTCCCAGATGGGGCTTGTTAGGGCACTCAGGACTCTGTCACAGCTGCCACGTTGAAGCTAAACTCTCCAGAGGCAGCTGTGTCCTGACAGCTGTGCATTTTTCACTGTCACAGATGACTTTTCCTCTTGTCACTTCTTGCTTTATGCTGTTGTGGTTCAGGAAAGAGCAGCACACATGGAGCTGGTGTAAAGTGAAGGCCTTGCAGAGCTGTTGCAGAAAGCTGGGTGGTGCTCACAGGCTGGGAGGGAAACCTCACCGAGCCCTTGCAAGAGACCCAAAATGCAACCTGCACCAACCTGTGGACCCAGCTGGGAGAAACCAGAGCTAGGTCAAAGCATCCCTTTGAAATACCTGGACAAAAAGCAGCCAAATATTTAGCCTGGCACCAGGAAGTACGTAAAACTACCCCAAGTTATGTGCTTGAGGGTAACGCGTGCCTGCCTGCTGCAGGTGCACGTGCAAATTTCTTGGGGTCAGTAGAAAGTCACAGGCAGCATGGAAGCAGGGACACTTTCAGTTGCCATTTGTGCCAAAGGTCCTGGTGTCCTCACCAGCATTTCAGAGATGCTGTGTGGAAGCAGTGAAGGTTTTGGCCATGCAGATAGACCTGTTTTTTTACTGCCTCTACTTCTTCACTCTACTGTTTCTTGGGGAACACCCTGAATGATTTCTAAGTGAACAAGTATTACCTAAAGCTTGAAAAACCCAGGATCTTGAACCATTTTTTTTTAATACAATTTAGGGTCCACCCTGTAATGGGGAAAGGAAACCAGTCCAGGGTGGTGATGAGATTCGTGGGATGCCATAGCCCAAACAGAGCCTGGGACTCATGCCTGCACCCCAGATCCTTGTCCACTGATTGACTTTGCCTCCCCAGGGAGAGTTGCTGGGAAGAGAACAGGGGGATATCAGGAAGAAAGTGGTGCAACCCTCTCTTCCCTCTCCCCGACAGCTTGGGCACAGATTATGCTGTTTTTCTCCCACCACAATAACATCGTTATTCAACTTGGCAGCACAAGGTGGAGTGAGTGAGTGAGAGAGGGAGAGTGTGTGCGGCTGTGGTGTTTTTTTTTTTAATCTCCCAAACACTTCCCAGTTCTGCCGATTGCGAACTCCTGCCCGGCCATCCCCGCCGCAGCATCCCGCGTTGCCATGCCGACAGGGGCTGACATCCCCGGGTAGCAAAGGGAGTGCTCCGCTTTGCTGGGGGCTGCAGGATGGGAGGGATGTGCATGTGCCCGACTGGTGCTGACATCTAACCAGGGCATTTTTATTTTATTTTTTTCCCCAGATATCCCAGCACTAGGCAATGATTTACCCCTCATCAGCCCCTTTAAGGTGTCTTCAGCAGCGCTTGACTTAATCAGGATGTCTTGGCATGATAAACAGCCTTCCCCTGACCCCGGTGCTCCCACTGCGAATTAGATACAGCAAAGCAAATGGTTCCTCGCTCCCTGCAATGCCTCACCACCTCCCTGCCCTTGTGGCTGCTGTAGGGGGTAGCAAGGCTGGAGGGAGCCCACAGCTCAGGGCAGCAGAGCCCGACTGCCCGGCCTGCTGCCAGCATGGTTTCTTTTAAAGCATGTTTAAAGCTCCAGCTTCCCCGGGAGATGTCCTACAGCGCTGTCCAGGAAATAAAGAAGAGAAAGTTTGATGGTTTTTCATTTCTTTCCACCAGGGCAAAGACACCAGCAGGAGAACTACAGCTGTAGATCTGAGTGCTGCCGCCAGGAGACAACAGCCTGCCCAGGGCGCCGGTGGGATCTGGGGAGAGGGAAGCAGTAGATCTGCTGCCTGGTCCCATGCACACACCAGGCTGTCCTTTCTGGAGGAAAAAATATCCTCGTGGCCATCTGGGGAAGGGACACAGGGCTCATAATGGAAGAGAAAGCAAGCACACTGCTAACCAGCACTCGCCTGAGACTGGGAAAAGAGGAATCCCCTTGGATCAGGAGTGCCCCTTGTTGTGCCTGCTGGTCACAAGGCATGGACAGCTTGCAAGGGGAGGGGAGGCTGGATTGGACTAGGTGATCTCCAGAACCCCCTTGCAGCCAGTATTTCTGTGGTTGAATCTCTGGGAATCACTGGCTTGTTGGTTCAGGTTTCTCTGCAGAATGGGGCAGATATTGCTGGAAGGATCGTGCGCTGATGATGAAGGGAAGAGATGAAGGTCTGGACTCAGCTTGAGCTGTGGGTCACTTAGGCTTTGCAATATGCTTCCACTGGTGGTCCCAGGGGAGGAAGCAGTGGGATTTGCTTTTATTCAATAAAAGAAACAAAACAGAACGCATCGCTAATATCTGCAAAACCAACATGGCCAGCTGCTGGCTTTAGAAAATCACAACCAGGCAGACATGCAACCACACCATGTCCATTCTCTTTGTGCCTATTAGGATTTCTGAGCCTAGCATCAGGCCACTTACTACAGCCTTTTACTTTACAAATGAGGGCAGAAACTCAAAAGAAACAAATGAGGAAGGTGAAGTTTCCAGGAACTGGGAGCTCAGGATCACACTTTGCCTGTGGGATCCAGACCAGCCAGCCCCTGGTGTGGGTACCCACTGCCCACCCAGCCCAGCACAGCCTGGGGTCCTGCTCACCTGGGCTGCTCCTGCCTGCGAGCCCCTACCTGCACATCCCGCAGGGCTGCTGAGTGCTGTGGCCACTGCTATTCCCATTCATAAAGGAAAGTGCTTTTCCATCCCAGAGGAGTTTTGTACTTAAACTGCATTGCAGGAACACATTACAGCTCCCTTTCCAGTCGCTTTGTTCTCCTGCTTCCCTGCAGTTTCCTTGGAAAAGTTCATTTTCCCTGTGGACTTCCTTTAGATTTAAACATTTCCCCTCAACGGATTTGGTGAGCAAAGAAAGCTTCAATTTGGAATCTGAATAGAAACAATTTGTAGCACCTTGGTGTACAAATTATGGGCATACATTGAGAAAGCTTGTACACCTCTACCCATGTCTTGGTTCACAATATGTATGAGACACAGCCTCAATTTCAGTCAATAGTTTTCCAAGAGCTCTTGTGCTAGCTTCAACTCACTTTCTACTACTTTCTGCAGCAGCTGGCACCAGCATAAAACAAATGTAACATGCTACTAAAGTGTTATGCACTCACTTTAGGCTGGTGCTAGCTGCAGCAGGAGGTGTTGGCTGGTGGAAAATCAGATGTTTCTGCTATTGCTTCAATTATAGATAGCTCTTCCTGTGAAAAGACTTTTGTGCCTGAGAAAAGGGCAGTGGAGTGAGAGGACAGTGACCTGGCACGAGGAAGGCTGGGAGAAGCTTCACAGCTCCTCTCTGCCCTGCATGGGGAACATGCTGTAACCTTCTTCTTCAGACAAGTTTTCTGGCTATTGCACTTTAAAAATATATATATATACATATTTCCCTAACAAAGCTCACAATATGGCAAGGACAGGCATGTTTAGTGACACAGCTGGCACAGGCAGGCTCAGTGTGGCCACCACACATCCTGGTCTCCCAACTGCTTCGTCCTGTGAGTGCCAGCTTCAGCCCAGAGGAAAGTTCCCATTTGGCTCTTGGGCTCTGTGCTCAACCCTATTTGTAAAGAGAAAACAATGGATTCATTTTCTCAGGAAACACTTGTAATACTAGATGGAAATGATCCACAGAGAAAGATTGATTTTTTTCCTAGATGCTCATGATAAAAGATTATAATGCATTCTGTTCTGATAAGCATTTTAGTCCATATCAGTTTAAATTTAGTATTGCATGATATTAGAAATTACAAGAAAGGTACAGATAAAACAAAACTTTATCCCAAACATCTTAGAAGTAGCTGCAGTTAGGAAAAGTTTTTGCTTTTCTTTCCAAGTTGTGATAAATCAAGTCCTGAACTTGGAATTTCCTGCCAGCAGTCCTGTTATAATGCTGTTTTCAGTCAGGCTGGATGGAAAAGCATCAAGATGGAAAGAACCGAGCTAAAAGGTTTATCTTAATTATTAAGACTGTGGAGCAGAGCACAGGGAAACCACAGTCTATTGCAACCCTGCTACTGCATTGCTGTGTGAGTGCGAACAAGATACCTTGTTTTATGTGTCCCAGAGGCAACATGGATGGATGCCTTCTCCTGAGAACACTGCGAGATGGTGTGCTTATGCTAAAAAAGCAAAAAGGGAAGCAAGAGAATGGCCAAAGGGACAGCTGACATCAGTTATGCAACATATTTTGTGCAGGGACAGTCTTGTGCAGGGTTTAGTGCTGAAAGTGTGCTGAAATGTAAGCAGAAAGAGGTGGGGAAACCTTGTACACAGGACAAAACCACATCCCCAAATATTTCTTTGGGATGCCTGTGGCAGAAGTCTGCAGCCAGCGCTTGTGGTGCTGTGCTCCAAGGGGGAGAATTTCAGGCATGAGGTGCAGCGAGACCTGAGGCTCTGAGTGGGGTTACCCAGTCCAGGAGCATTTCTTGTGGATGGAAAGCAGTTGCTCTTGCCTGTTTGCCCATGCCTTATATTATTTTATCTTTTTTTTTTTTTTTTTTTTTTCCTTCCAATTTTAATTTCCAAACAATTAAAGTAAAGAAAATGGAGAATAGACTCACACCTTCTGTGCTGACTGAGCCAGACCTGTCAGCCTGAGCATCGTCCTTTAGGACAGCCTGACTGGGGCTGGGTTCCTTTTGGGACTGGCCAGAGAGGTGCTGTTACTCCCAGTGAAGTCTTGTGTGGACGCTCGTTGTTCAGGAAAAAAGTCCCTCAGCCCAAATCAGTGCAATCAACCTTGAAACTTGGGTGAGGTCTCCAGTGACTGTGAGAGCATCAGGAGTTTATGAATTCCTAGGAGGAGAAGAAATACAATTCAGAGGAAACCTGCATTTTCCTGCAGTTCCTTGGGGCAAAGAGAGACCAGAGCTCTCCCTGGGAGGTGACAGCCATGAGTCCTTGCAGCTC